ATCCATCCATCCATCCATCCATCCATCCATCCATCCATCCATCCATCGATCCATCCATCAACACTGTCACCTTAATGTTATCTGCTGTTTAATCAGACAGGTAAAACTAACACCTAACACACCTGCCCACTTATCTGTCCATTTATTTTATGACCATTTAAATACCATAATTTGTGATTTTGTCCTGAGTTTGACAAGATTATCATTTCCTGTTTTGAGAGAGTTGCATCATTGATTAGTTCGATGTCACAGCACATGAGCCTTTCTTTATTATGTCTAAACACTTTTTAAATAAACTATCAGTAAATTATTTTATGTGACATCAGCAACTGAAACTTCAGTCTTATGGCTTAATTTTACACACACACACACACACACACACACGCATGCACACACGCACGCACACCCGCACGCACAAAAAGTTTTTGACTCTTTTTTTAATTTTATTGTATCACATGAAGCTTGAAGAGTCACAACTCCACAAATAATTCTCTATTAAATATGTGAAAGCTGCAAGTGATTCTTTTAAATTAGATGTAAAAAATAATTCTCTACATAAAAAAAATCTGGTCTTTTCAGGCTAAATATCCTCATTAGTTCAAACTCCTTGTGTGAAAAAGATGACTTTATCACATAAAAATCCTTTAAATGTCACATTATTTATCTGCCAGATGGAATCTGTTAATGGTTTGCAACGTTTCAAAAGCCTAAAGTTTCCCAGCACTCATTGAAACGTACCTGGTGGTTGAGGCCAGTAAAGAGGAGCAGGAGTTTGATGGTCTCGTGCCACGATGGCAGCCGGCTCGGCATGGTGCTGTGAGCTCACATTAAAAACACTCGGCTGGTCCGACACTTCACGCCTCGTCCTTCCACTCCCCAGGCAGCTCGTTCATCCTTGATTTAGGGTTTCACTTGGCCCAAAGGAAAGCTACAGTCTTGTTGACCTCCTGGTAATTCTGATGAACTTTAGGAACACTTTGATGATTATCTGCAGGAACCGAGATGCTCATTAAAGCTGCTGGCAGCTTTGCTCCAAACTCCTAAACATCTTCTTGATCCAATGATTTGGTCCAAAAATCCAAGACATTATAACAAATCTTATTCTCAGATTAAAAAAAACATTATTACAGATGAGTCCTCTGTTGTCTTTGAGAAAAGGCTTTGTCTCTGACGGAGGTCGATCTGTCTGTACTTCACTGCACAACTGAGAGCGCCTGAGATCCCATCTGACAAACTGCCTCTCCCTCCCCATCATCCTCTACCAATCAAGACGAGGGCCTGGGAGCACCGCTTGTATAACCACACTAACTTGGTTGTAGATGAAATTTTACAAACAAGTATAAATTCTAATATACTGATGATCATTAGAAATAATAACACAGTAAGCACCATGTGTACTTTGACCCAGTGAAGACACTGAGCTCGTCCCGTTGTTTAGCTTTCTCACAGACTTATTGAGCATCAAACTGTGTCTCTGACACTAACAGGGACCTCAGAGTAAACTCAGGCGCTAAAGCTAAACACATGAAAGCAAACGGGGGGAGCAATGACACCGAGGTGCAGAAACAAGTTCCATTTGAACTTTGACTCGCAAACAGATTCTAACTAATTTATTAATAGTTTTACAACAGCTTCAACTTGCAAGGGTTTTATTTGTAGTTCTGTTTGTTTCATTTGGAAACTGAATGAGCTGGTGAAGATTCTCAGTCATCCAGGACATGATCAATTCAAAAAACGTTCAATACAAAAACAACTGGACTTTATTGTAACAGAAGACGTTTCGCTCCTCATCCGAGGAGCTTTCTCAATTCAATGAGCAGTAAGTGAGAGATTCAGGTTATAAACATCTGGCTGGTATTTTAGCTCCTCTTGTTGGAAACACACCTCATCACATAAAGAACTCCATTGATTTTGCTAACAAAGTTCAACACTTGAAACTAACCCCAGGAGAAACCCTTGTATCGTATGAAGTGACTTCTCTTCACTTGCATACCCATCTCTGAAGCAGTAGAAACCGTCAGAAAACAACTTCTACAAGACAAGGACTTAATCAACAGGACCAACTTCACCCCAGACCAGATCTGCACCCTGTTGGATCTCTGCCTCTCCACCACTTATTTCAAGTTTATTGACAGTTTTTACAGACAGAAGCACGGCTGTGCCATGGGATCTCCAGTGTCACCCATTGTTGCCAATCTCTACATGGAGGAAGTGGAACAAAGAGCCCTAAACTCCTTTGAGGGAACAACGCCAAGCCATTGGTTCCGTTATGTGGATGACACCTGGGTCAAAATCCAAGCTAAGGAAATAGAAGCGTTCACCAGACACATCAACTCGGTTGATAACAACATCAAGTTCACCAGAGAGGATGCAAACGACAACAAGCTGCCTTTTTTGGACTGTTTGGTTCAGATGGAGAGAGAGGACAGCCTTAACATTGAAGTTTACAGAAAACCAACCCACACAGACCAGTATCTTCTGTTTGACTCCCACCATCCACTGGAACACAAACTCTCTGTCATCAGAACTTTACAACATCGGGCCGAATGCGTCCCCACAAAGACAGAAGGTAAGGAAAAGGAACAGAAACACATTCAAGAAGCTCTTCAAACATGTGGATATCCTAACTGGGCTTTTGTCAAGTCAGCGAGGAAATCTACAAAACACACCAATAAACAGAAAAAGGAGAACAGCAGATGGAAAACATTGTCATCCCTTATGTTGCTGGAGTATCAGAGAAATTCAGAAGGATTTTCAACAAACACAAGATCCCAGTACATTTCAAACCCAGCAGGACTCTCAGACAGAGGCTGGTCCACCCTAAGGACAAAACACCCATACACAAACAGAGTGGTGTAGTGTATGCGGTCCAGTGCAGCGAGGACTGTCCAGACCTCTACATTGGAGAAACTAAACAGCCTCTTCACAGACGCATGACTCAACACAGGAGAGCCACCTCCTCTGGACAAGATTCAGCTGTTCACCTCCACCTCACAGATAAGGGACACTCTTTTGAGGACCAAAATGTGCACATTTTGGACCGAGAACACAGATGATTTGAAAGGGGGGTGAAGGAAGCAATTTATGTAAAAAAAGAAAAAAAAGTCTCTTAACAGAGGAGGAGGCCTCAGATTTCCACTTTCAAAAACCTATAATGCAACTTTAAAACAGATTCCCAGCCGGTTTTCACACCTGATGGGAACAGAGGGGTCTCATCTGTGAATTAGAGTAACAAAGACCTTAAGAAACCCCTACTGTTAAGGTCTTGAGGTGTGACTTGTCAAATCTACATATGTGTGTGTCTTATCTCACTCAGCCTTATAATAACCTGAATCTCTCACTCACTGCTCATTGAACTGAGAAAGCTCCTCGGATGAGGAGCGAAACGTCTTCTGTTACGAATAAAGTCCAGTTGTTTTTGTATTGAACGTTTTTTGAAACTGAATGAGACAAAATCACAGTTTTCAGAAGAATGAATACCCCAAGTAAACTAATAATAATAATAATAAAAATTATAAATAGCAACTCTGAGGACAGAGGTTGTAAATACATCTCACAGGGCTGTGACTGTTGGTGTTGATCTGCATTCAGAAGAGAGTCTCTGGAATGTCTCAAGACATTTTCAAAGCTTCTTCTTTTTCTTTTTTCTTTCTAAGTTTAGGCTTGCAGGGCTGTCACTTCATTTTGGAACGTGCTAAACAATCGTGCAAAACATTTTATCTTAAAGTCTTTGCAAGACTCATGTTCGCACTGCTGTTGTTACGCTGTATTGTTTTACATTATTAGTGTTTAGGGTATATCCAGTGGTGGAGAAAGTACTCAAACACTGTACTTAAGTAAAAGTACAAATAAACAGACAAAAATGTACTCCAGTAAAAGTAGAAGTACCACATTAACATTTTTACTTAAGTAAAAGTAAATAAGTACTTGCTTTTGAAATACTTAAAGTATTAAAAGTAAAAGTACTTCCTAATTAAATAATGCAATGGTCTACATATCTTTAAGTGTGCCCACCGTATGTATATTTCCTGCAATACATTAATAGTGTTGAGCCATTTTAATGAACAATGCTGCAGATAATACATGTTTTTATTGTGTTTACTCTGTGACACCGTTCACACTTGGACTTGTGATTCTGTGCATCAGAATTTCAGGGATGACCTGCAGAAATAAATTACATTAATCAAAATAAGAAAGAGGAATGATTATACCTTTGAAAGTTTTTATTTAACACAAAGCAAAACCAATGTGTCATGTTAACTGCAGTAAACACATTTAAGTAAAAGTTGTCTGCCTGAACAAAAGGAGCATTAGACACAACTAACAAAGGAATAGACTCTGATCATTTCCACTGATATTTCAACTCCAGTTTGTCATCAACTCTAGTTAAAATACTGTCTATTCAACCTTGTAATGGGTCAATATTGAACAATATTTTAACTTCCTGACACCATTTTTAAAACTTGGACCTGAGTGTCGAGCCATTTGGAGACATCTCTTGTCTCCTAACATCCCATGAACTGACACATTTTAATATTGCAGCAAGAATTTCTTGTTCAAGTTCAGAAGAAGTTGTTTTCAAAGATTTTTGAGTCCAGTCTGGCTCTTTTGGGAGAATCTGTCCTGTTGTACTGAGCAGTCTTTCAATAAGGCCATGGGTGGCGTGTATCTTTTGGCTGACTCTCTTGCGGTGGAATATATTTTGGGTGTGCTAGTAGTGCTGTGGGTGCACCCAGCTCAGTGACATATATAGTAGAATATAAGTCATTGGCCCAGCTCTTCTTGAAGGCGGGCCTAACGTTACCTGCCCACTTTGCTGTGATTCAATGGACCAACTCCCCTCTCACCATTGGTTACTTTCAAAGTAACAAACAAATAAAAAAAACAGCAACATGAATGTAACTTGTAATGCAACGCGTTATAGAAATGTAGTGTAGTAGAAAATACAGATACTTGATGTAAAATGTAGTGGAGTAAAAGTATAAAGTACTCACATTTACCTCTACTTAAGTAAAGTACAGATACATAAAAAATGTACTTAAGTACAGTAACGAAGTATTTGTACTTAGTTACATCCCACCACTGTGTATATCTTAGACTTTTATCTTACTGTTCAGCGTTCATTTAGCACATCTTAACGTATATCTTAGATCCTTATATACTGTTTCTTTTTATACTTTATATTTTTTCTATTGCTGTGTGTAACTGGGACCCTGAGTACATAATTTCGTTCCACCTCATCACATGTGATGGAAATGACAATAAAATTGACTTGACTTGACTTGAGAGTCGTTGCAGGTGTCTCGTACTCTTCTCAGTCCAGATGACCTGACTGAAAAATGTTGGATTGTATACCTGAATTATTGAGCATGGACTTTGTTCTTCTCAGTTGAGTTTTTATTAGTTAATATATTACGTAAATTTAATTAACTTTATTCTGATCCCTGCACTGGAGCTTCTCGTTTGAGGCTCCAGCTCAAAATATTCATGTCTAAATATACTGTTTATAAAGAATAATGGTTAAAAATTGTGTATACCTGCCTATCTAGTAGATTAAATACCAAAATGGGTACAACTTTATTATGTCTGTGACATATGTAATTTTTATCATGTGTGCTGTTGGTCCCTCTTACAAATGAGATCTTGATGGCAGTAAGGTTTTAAATCTGGTTTAATAAAAGAAATGAACATGGGCAAGGTGGTGGCGTAAAGCAGGTCAGGTGACTGCAAGATTCAGGATTAGTTAGAACGGTATTTAAGGGATGTGCACTCATCTGTTCCCTGCTCAGATACCACCATTTTCATGTCCA